AATTGGAGACAGTGTCCTGCAAAACATGAAACAGCTCAGTTAATCAGTGACTATTTAAACAGAGGTGTACCGCATTGGAAAATCAAATCTCCTTTGTCTCTAGGCTACATTTCATTAGAGTGGGGTCAAACCAATCCTCACAACAGTTACCTAACACCCTGAGAACATTCTCCAAACAATTTCAATTGGTCCATGTGATCAATGACAAAAAAGTCTTGAGACGGAGGGACATGTACTCCCTGATTACTCAACTCAGAATCTTATCAGTGCCAGATAGAATCTATTTCCGTCCTTCTGCTGCTAATTTCTGTCACATTCGTACAATCCTAATCTGCATCCTTTCACCTAATGAATATCTGTTAGCATAAATAGCTCTCTCAATAAACATGCAAATCATCAACAAAGTTTATTTTTAACCACAAGCGCTTATGTACTAGGGTAGAATGTTTAAATCAGGCTAAATGCTGTGTCAAAGGTAAGGACAGTGTGAGCCTTGGTTGTGACGCTGCTGACAATATGGCCTCTTATACATTGGGGAGACAAAACGCAGACTGGGCTACCGATTTGCAGAACACCTACATTCTGTCTGCAAAAATAATCCTGAGCTTCCGGTTGCCTGTCACTTCATCACACCACCTGGCCTTAGTGCAAGTTGGAGGAACAGTATCTGATTTTCCACTTGGGGGTTCTGCAGCCTTCAGGACTTGATATCAAGTTCAATAATTTTGGGGCCTAAGCACCTTCTCCCATGTCCTTACCCCAAACTCCAGATACCACGCCTTGTCTTCACATGGGCTGCAACCTTAAACAACCCATTGTCAGCTACCAACCGTCCCCATTAGCAACTATTGATTCTCCCAGGCTGACCTTTAGCCATTCTTTTGTCTGCCCAACTGTTTCTCTCTCTCTGTGCTCCATCTCCACCTATTGTTTACTTCTTCCCCTTCTCCACCCATCTTCAGCGTTGAAACCAACCTTTGCCTAGCCACAATCAGTTCTGAAGAATGGTCACTGGACCCGAATGTTGAACTCTGCTTTCTCTCCACAGATGCTGCTGGATCTGCTGAGTTTCTGCAGCAATTTCTGTTTTCGTTGAGGCTTCCTTTAACGGATCTCATGTTTTTGCCATTGTTTACATTCAATTGCAGTGTATTTAGCTATTTAATCTTTCCTCTTAGGACAATCCCTGCATTCCAGGAATTAGTCTGCAATCTTCACTGCATTCCTGCTATTGACAATATGTCCTTCCTTCATAAGGAGACCAAAACTGTGCACAATATTCCAAGTGTGGTCTCCCTAAGGCTTTATACAGTTTCCGCAAGGCATCTTTGCAACTGTTTAAACCCTCTTGTTACGAAGGCCAACATATCACTTGCCTTCCTAATTTTCCCTGTATTTGCATGTTAGTTTTCAACAATTCATGAACAAGGGCAACCAAGTTTCTTTAAAGCTCAACACTTCCCAGACTTTCCCCATTTAATAAACGGTCTACACTTCTGCTTTTCCTACGAAAGCGATAAACATCTGCCAAAGTTTTACCCATTCAACCAGCCTTTGCAAAGTGCCTTGAAGCGTCTTGGATCCTATACACACCTCACACCTATATTTCCATCTAGTTCTGTGTCGTCTGCAAACTTGGAAAATAAAAGCCTGGATTTTCCGATACCCAGATAATCATTTTAACAGTGCAGCTAGGAATTGCGCACAGGGGTACTGTGGAATCTCCAATGTAGCAAGTCTGAGGGAATTACTCGGGAATTGAAGATTCGGCTGGGCTAGTTCCCTCTACCTGGAACCCTCCAAAAGTATCCACTTAAACTGGAGAATTTGGAGACTTCCGCAGCAGTTAAGTGGGTCACTTAAGTGCCTTAGTTGGCATCTGGGCTGGGAGCCAACCATCACTCTTCCCACCCTGGACTTATTCAGCTGGCAAGAGGGAAAGAAGAAAATTCTACCTTTAGCCTTGTTCCCACTATTGAAAGCAAAATAATTGACAAATCAGCCCATGTATGGTATTTCCACATGCAACAAGAAAATATATACCTGTTCTCTATACTGAAAAAAGATAAGCTTCATACATTTGGTTTGAGAGAATTCTTTCTATTTGTCAGACAAAAGACTGGACAAACCACATCTATTATATGCTTTGGAAATGCAGCAGTGATGGGGCTTGGAGTCATTTTCCTTTATTCATTCATGGGATGAGGGCCTTGCTGATCAGCCAGCATTTATTGTCCATCCCTAATTGTCCAGAGGGCAGTTCAGAGTCAACCACATTGCTGTGGGTCTGGAGTCACATGTAGGCCAGACCAGGTAAGAATGGCAGTTTCCTTCCCTAAAGGGTATTAGTGAACCAGATGGGTTTTTCCCGACAATCGACAATGGATTCACAGTCATCGTTAGACTCTTAATTCCAGATATTTATCGAATTCAAATTCCACTATCTGCCATGGCAGGATTCAAACCCGGGTCCCCAGAACATTATCTGGGTCTCTGGGTTAACAGTCCAGCGATAACACCACTAGGTCGTTGTCTCCCCATGCACCAACGTGTACAATGGGATCAGAATTGATGTTTTGTAAATGTTTGTTGTCCTGTTAGGGCTCATGCTCTAGCTTGTAACAAACTTTTCAAATTGGAATTTGGAATTAGCAGACATTTATTTCTAGATAAAATAATCTTGGTGTTGGTTTTACATTACAAATTCACATGGCAGTGGATTTGGTTGGGTAATTAGGGAAGACAGTGCTTTTAAATTATTGAGTGAAGCAAAGACTTACAGGGCTGACTTTATTTCTGAAACACAAAGTTATAATTCATAAAGGAGTGTTCAAGCCTTGTTCTACATCGTACAAAACTTCAACCATGTACTCAAATCCAAACTGGAAGATGAATACTTCCATTCAGGAGACTGCTCATCTCAGACCTTGCATCTGGCCATTCTTTAGCTTAAATTGGGAAATCACTATCCTACATTGAAACATTGAATTCAAAAATAATTTTTTGCCCGTGGAGTGCTGTTGGTCTTCCCGAGGTTGTGCAAGGTTCCATATACAAATTCATTTAATTTAACAAATGATTAATTAATTCATTCATTCAAATCTTTTGAATTCTCGACCACAGTGGGTTGAGGATTCACCACCATTGAATATATTGAAGTATGAGATAGACAGATGTTTGGTCTCTCAGGGAATCAAGAGGTAGAGGGAGCAGGTGCGAAAATGGAGTTGAAGCAGAAAACCAATAATTATTGGATTGAATTGTGGAGCAGGCTTCAGGGGCTGTAAATTTCACTCTTGCTGCTGTTTCTTATGTTCTTATTCCAGTATCATTGGCAAGCTAGAAAATCGACCAATAGATTGCATTACCATCACTGAGCCACACACCGTAGTGTCCTGAGGATCACCCAAATCCGATTTGAAGCAGACTCACACAAATGCCATGTCTTTCAAAAGAGGTCAGAAGCTGGCTATTCTGTGGTGAATGCTCATCTCTGTCCCCCCAAAGCACCTCTACAATCTGCACAGCACACTTCAAGAGTGTGTTGGAAAAACGTCTATTAGCCTGGATAGGTACAGTTCAAACAATACTCAAGAAACTTGATCAAGTCAAATTGGTTGATACACTATCTAATCACTGACTTGAAGATCCACTCTCTCCATTTGCAATGTATCCTCACTGCATTGTGTACTATCTGCCAGATATGCAGACCTCCTGTGAATTCTACCAGCCAGAAGTTTAAAAGGCAACAGAACACCACTTCTTCCTAAACCCACTTTCTGACTCGGAAATATACCTCTGCTACATCACTGCCACTGGAAAGGTTCTGAAATATCATAGAATATAGAGCTGTTCAGCATGGAAACAGATCCTTCGGTCCAACTCGTCCATGCTGACCAGATATCCTAAATTAATCTAGTCCCATTTGCCAGCATTTGGCCCATATCCCTCTAAACCCTTCCTAATCAGGTACCCATCCCGATGCCTTTTAAATGTTGTAATTGTACCAGCCTCCACCCCTTCCTCTGGCAGCTGGTTTCCTTTTAAATTTTTCCCCTCTCACCTTAAACCTATGCCCTCAGGTTGTGCACTCTCCCACTCTGGGAAAAAGAGCTTGGCTACTTACCCTATCCATGTCTCTCATAATTTTATAAACTTCTATAAAGTCACCCCTAAGTCTCCGATGCTCGAGGGAAAATAGCCCCAGCCTATTCAGCTTCTCCCAAATCTCCCTATTCCTCAAACCCTCCAACCTTGGAAACATCCTTTCAAATCTTTTTTGAACCCTTTCAAGTTTCACAACAGCCTTCCTACAGCAGGTAGACCAGAACTGCATGCAATATTCCAAAAGTGGTCTAGCCAATGTCCCGTACATCCACCACATGACCTCCCAACTCCTATACTCAATGCACTGACCAATAAAGGCAAGCATACCAAATGCCTTCTTCATTATCCTAACTACCTACAACTCCACTTTCAAGGAACTATGAACCTGCCCTCCAAAGTCTCTGTTCAGTAACATTCCCCAGGACCTTACCATTAAGTGTGTGAGTCCTGCCCTGATTTGCATTTCCAAAATGCAGTACCTCACATTTATCTAAATTAAACTCAATCTGCCACTCCTCGGCCCACTTGCCCATCTGATCAAGGTCCCGTTGTACTCTGAGGTAGCTTTCTTTGCTGTCCACTACATCACCAATTTTGGTGTCATCTGCAAACTTACTAGCCATACCCCGATGTTCACATCCAAATAAGTTCTGTAAATGTCCTATAAGAGTGTTGTAGGAGCATCTTCAGTACACGGACTGTAACAGGCTTCATGAAAGTAGCCCACCACTACTTTCTGAAGGGCAATTAAGGATGGACAATAATTGCTGGTCTTGCCGTATTTGTGAAAGAATTTTTAACAGAACATAAAGTCAGAAAGAAAGATATTTATACTGTGCTTCATCGCTTTGCCAAAATGTCTCAAAGTATTCAATTACAATTTGCTTTTAGTGTCAGTCTGGAACAGTGACAGTAAACAGAAACAACACTGACCTGCAAGTGTGAGGGTGAAACCTCGTCCCTTTCAGAAAGCATTTATTTGGAGACTCTGTACATTCGCAGGCACATTTTACTGGGTTTAAAGGCTGATTTCTTGGACAACTCTTTTTGCAAACACACTCGCAGGAATCCATGTCAAACTGCTTGTGGGGACCACACAGGGCAGGATATAGTCCATTTCTGCACACACACTGGCATGAATCCTTATCCAGCATCTTGTGACGTCCACAGCTGGAATGGTGTTGCCCTCCTTTACAGACGCACTGACAGGTCTCCTCATCCAGTTCTTTATTAGGCCCACAGACACTGTAGTAGCTGCTGTCACCACCTAGGAAAGAAAGTACAGAAACAGATACATGCTGTAAGTGTTCAATAAACTGCAAAATACGCCACAAGATTATGCATGTGTACTGCTTTGATATTAATGGCAATGAGATCACTTTTTCCTCTCACACACTTGTGCATAAAGTGTTGCCTGGATGTAGCTTGGAGAACATGGCTGATCAGTTGGACTTTGTTTCTCATGGACAGTTCATACTATCCGATTTTCCCAGATGTGATGTTGCCAGGTGGACCGTGATGTTGTAATGAAATATCTATGTTCTTCATAAAGCACAACAGCCTTGTTCTCTTCTTTTGCTGAAATTTAAGTATTTATGGCAGGATGGAGAAAATCAATACTTCCCTGATTGCTTTGAACTGGATGTTAACCTTGGCTGCAAAGTCGTGATGAAGGGTTTCAACCCGAAATGTTGACTTTCCTGCTCCTCGGATGCTGCCTGACCTGCTGTGCTTTTCCGGCTCCACATTTATTGACTCCAAAGTAACACTCTTGCCTGGATTTCAAAAGATCAAAGATTCATTCTTGCCTGTTCCCAATCCCTTTGCTATCCCGACATGTAAGATCCATTATGATGGAAAGGCAGGGAATTTCTCCCTGGTATCATGGCCTGCATTTATTCCTGATCACATCAGATTGTGTGGTTATGATCTTACTTCTGCTTGTAGGTTCTTTACTGAGACTGCCACACTTAGCTACATTACAAAAGTAGTCACACTCCTTCAAAGTACTTCATTGCCTCTATATGTTTTGGGACGTCTTGTGGTTGTACTGTGTTATATAAATGCAACTTTTGTTTTATCCTCAGAAGAAAATGTCAGAGGATAAATAAGCATAATCTATGCTTTAATTGCTAGGTTAAAGAACAGAAATGACATATACACCGTTTCTTTCAATGCAGGCAGTTATGGCACAAGTATTAAAGAAGCAAGGTTCAGAGATAGCCAAACATGTGCAGTGTCCTACTGTAGTTCAATCAACTAAAACTGTACAGCTTTCCAGAGCAGTATAATTGCTTCTCTAACCTGTACTCGCTTTAGGATATTGACTTTCAGGGTTATTTGGTCTGGGTTGAAAGATGGCCAGGCCCAGAAATTAGATAATTCCTCATTGAGAAGCCAGGTTTGTTGAACAGGTATGAAGTATACCCTGGGGGCCTGTCTCATTTGCGTATCCCATTCTCAGTACTGTAAAATAGGATTGAATTTTCCAATTCTGGGTGTGTTGTCTTTGATCCAATTTTCCCCAAATGCAAACAGATGCTGGGCATTGGAAAACTGATAGAGGTATAGAGAAAACCCATGCAGGTATTAGGAACTCCTCTTGCGGAGCATAACAAGCACTCCAGCTCACCTTTACACCTCCCTCAATCACTAAACCACATCTCAGTTTCCTCCTAAGTTATACGATGCAGTCCAGCTGGTTAGAAGGACCTGCCTAGAGCAACTCATGATGTGATAAATATTTATTTGTTTAAGATGTACAGATCTAGTGCCTTAAATTAGGTGTATTTGTCATTAATTATGCATCAGGCCCTTAACTATTATCAGCCAACATCGCTTGGTGTAAGCTTACAAAAATAGAGCTCCAAAGTGATCAGTCTTAATTAGGATGGTGGCTTATAATTTACTTGCCCACACAGTAAATTTTGAATCTTTTGGGTATTGACGTCAGAGATGAATTAAGTGTTCTACAAAATTCTCAGAACATCAGAGCATTGGACACCTGAGCTATCCGCCTGTACATGCCATACCCAATTTAATTGCACTGAATGAGCTTTGGTTTCCGGGTCCGCTGTTACCTGAAATTTCTTGCTTTTATAGCCTGTCAGCAGATTTCAAGTAACTGATACGATATTATGGGTATCTAATATGCCTTCAGTGTCTAGACCCCAAACCTCCCTGAACCTCTCCATCTCTCTCGTCACCTGTAAGACACTTCTTACAACACACGCCTTTGAACAAGTATTCGGTCACCTATCCTATTGTTTCCTTCTCTGTTTCAATACCAATTCCTTACGTTTGGTTATATTCCTGTGAAATTCTTGAGGAACGCTTTACTATGTTTAAAGTGCTTCCCTCATGCAAATAATTATTGACGTCTTGGTAGTGAATACTTACCTCTGCTCTGGCAGCAGTTTAATGGGTCCAGAGTTAATAAAACAATTAAAACAACTGGCATTAAAACAATGTCAACTGAAAATATAGATTCTGCTGTGTATAAACAAGAAGACTTCGCAGTAAGCTACACTGTAAATCAACTGTGTGTCTCTATTACAGTGCAATGTTCAATCATAAGGCTGTATTATTAATATTATTCCTGTCAGCCTTATGATTGAATGTTGCACTGCAATAAAGAAGAGTCATTGGATTCAAAACGTTAACTCTGTTGCTCTCTCCACACATGTTGCCAAAACAGCTGAGTTGCTCCATAACACCATAAGATATAAGAACAGGAGTAGGCTGTTTAGCCCCTTGAATCTGCTCTGCCATTCAATAGGATCATGACAAATCTGACATACCTTATGTACACTTTCCTGCCCTTTATTCTAACCCTTAATTACCCTACTGATCAAGAAGCTATCTGTTTCAGCCTTAAATATACACAAGAACTCTGCTCCCACAGCTCTCTGTGGCAAGGCATTCCAAGGACTCACAATCCTCTGAGAGAAGGAATTCCTCCTCATCTCATTCTTATATTGGTGCTCCTTAATTCTGTTACCTCTGGCTCAAGACTTTCCCATGAGCAGAAAACATCCTCGCAGCATTTAACCTGATGAGCCCCTTCGGAATTCTGCATGATTCAGTGAGATCACCTCTCAATCTTCTAAACTCCAGTACTTTGGGACTTTGTTTTTATTTTATCTCCAGCAATATTTTGCTTTGATAATAATAATATCAATCCCCAGGGTAAATGTCGTGAAACAAAAAGAAAATTTGCTGGAAAAGCTCAGTAAGTCTGGCAGCACCTGTGAAGAGAAATCAGAGTTAACGTTTTGGGTCCGGTGACCCTTCCTCAGAACTGGTATGTCTTCATGGCATCTGGATACTGAAGAAGTAATGTCCATGAATATATACTGGTCATATTGAAACAGTTAAGTCTCCAGTAAAACATGACAATAAATATGAAGTATCAGAACCCCAGTTCTGAGGAAGGGTCACCGGACCCGAAACGTTAACTCTGATTTCTCTTCATAGATGCTGCCAGACCTGCTGAGCTTTTCCAGCGACTTCTGATTTTGTTTCTGATTTACAGCATCTGCAGTTCTTTTGGTTTTTAAATGTTGTGAAACTCTGTTAATGTTCCAAACGATTATACAGAACAAGGCCTCTACTGTATAGACCAAGGCCATTTGGGGCTGACCAGTCCATGACAGCATTTGTACTCCATCTTTGTCCTCTCCACATGATAAGTCAAGGCCAACATTGAAACTCCAATTAAAAAAGACCGAAACAAAATAACATTTGATAATTTTACTCATAACACCATCATAATACTTCTAAAATTCAAAGCACATGTTCCTCACAGCTCGACTTTTTTTTTGTTTCTGTGAAGATCAAACAACGGAAACAAGTAAAGCAGAACATAATATCCTTCACAGCTGTCAAACGGTATCCAGGTCAAACGAAAAGGAAGAGACTTGCAAAGTCAAAAAGGAATATTATTTTTAAATCATTGCACAAATATTCCTAATTAATAAACTTGGATTGGCTCTGCCAGACTCCTCTACATTTGAGGCCAATGTGTTTAATAACACTCCATCGCTTGTGTGCTACCACGGCCTGCAAATGTCTCACTTTGGGATTAAATCTATACAAATGATTGACGTGTTATGGCTCTACTGTAGCACAAACCTAGGCTGCAAATGGCAGAAAACTCTAGTTATAATGTATTTCTCATTTCCGACACACATCTCCACAGAGTGACAGATGGAATGTCTGTAATATATTGTTCAAGATCTGGCTGCCCATTGTTTTTGGCTGCAATCTCTGCATTTCCCTAGTTAAGGACTGAGATCTTGGTGTTCAATGAAGAAACACTATTATTTGGTAGGAACATTCAAAGATCACATTTTCAAAGTATTTTCCAGCTCCCTTGTTAGTGTAACCCCCCTTTGACTGGGATATTGCCACATTATTTAAGAAAACACTGATTGAAACACTGCTTGTTTCTTTGGATCAAAATTGTTTTAAGACAAATTGTTGTTGGCAAGTTTATTTCTGCTGCTGGCTTTTCTTCTGGTGAGTGGTGTTGACACGTCGCTGGGGGCCTCCTCTCTCATGCAAGCTAAGTTCAAGGAATAATCTGTTCCGATCATGAACCTCTTGCTTGCTAGGTTTCAGTAAGATGCACCCACCAAACTTCTCACATTTATATATCCATTGCTTCTTAAAACAGAAATTAAAGCAGTTTATTTACAAGATCAAATGTAAGCAAACAACCTAACTTTGTTTGGTGTTGCTTAGTTGCTAAAATTCTTTTTCCAATTCAACAAGTAGAGACAAAGCAGTAGAGTCTAAACTTGAAACATTGATCTCTCTTCCATCGGTACGTTTTGCTACCCTGAGTGTCATAAGGATAATGGGACCTGTGCACTCTCCCCCAATAAGTTAGAATTAGAATTATTGTCACATGTACTCAGATGCAGGGATACAGGAATATGGTGAAAAGTGTACAAAGTCGCCAGTTCTGACGCCATTTTAGAGACAAAGGTACCTAGGTACAAAATCTTAGATATAAATTAGAAATTAAAGAAATGAAGTTAAACATTCAGCATTACAGAACTTCTAAAGCAGAGAAAGAGAGAAGGGAAATAAAAACAGAAGGAACAGACGAGTATGTGCTAGACTTCACCTCGAGTATCATTCTTTTGGAACAGATACTACGTGCTGAGGCTTGAACCTCTGGGACCCCAGCAGTAAGGGCCTCTGGTAACTGTGCAAGCTTGACAAGTCGCATCTGAACAAAGCTGGGACTGAGTGGGCAGT